ATAGTGCAGTTTTAAATAAAGTGTTTCAGATTGTCTTGCTGTCTTGTTTTGCTTTTTTGTTGTTGTTGGAGGGGGAGTTGTGTGGGGGTTTTTGTTGTTGTTGTTTTTTTTCAATCAAATAGACTCTAGACTTTAACAGTCTTCATCTGAAGTTCTGATTCTGTTTGTCGTGTTAAAATAAATCACTGAAAGGCTGAAGGTTTCAAAGATTCGTGTGTAATCATAAAAAAAAGATTTGGATACTTGAGGATGGGTACTTTGCATTTGCATGTTCTAAGTATAAAATATTGATGTAATATTTTGTATGTGTTTAATCGCTACAATGGTGCAAACCTCCACAAGCATGTAGCTTTGAAAGTTATGGAAGTGAAGATTTGCAAATTAAATCAAGTCCTCAGTTATATCAGTGAACTTTTAATAATTCAAAATGCCAGGCTGTGTCTCGACTTCAGATTAATAATCTATAGCAAACATATTATGATTATGCATTATATACACCCACATACACATCATGAACAACAATAACTGTGGTCCAGTAATGAAGTCACTATTAGGGCGTCATATAGTGGGCACATTATAGTGGAAATATAGCTCATGTAACATATGACACAATCTTACACAATCTTTTTCATCTTATCAGAGGTCCCTCATGTACGGAGATCATTTATGTATAAAAAATATTTACTCCAACAGTGACACAGAAATTACAGAAAAAAAACTGCTGAGAATTCAGGATCACAAGTGGCTCATAAAATTAATCATTTTTAAATGTCACAGCTTTCTTACTTTTCTTTTTTAAATGCATTTTTAAACTGAATTACAAATGCAAAACTTTTCACTTGCAATACCAGATACACCCACCAGGGGGAGGTTTACCTTCTTTTGTCCATATATCTTTATGGACAACAATTGGCCATTAAAATCAGGTAAGTAAGTTGATGTTTTATATAATAGTGGTGCCACATTTTACTTGCTTTATTCATTTTGATGTTTGAAAACAGGGTTAAAATAAGTGTATTTGTAGATTTGATCTAATGTATTTGTCTGTTTGACTCCTGGCTTATTAA